GGACCTTCCAGAGAAATACGCAGCAGTGTAGCCGTACGTAACTATTGTCTATCGTCAATACCTCAACGCACAGCGTGGACCTTCCAGAGAAATATGCTGCAGTGTAGCCGTACGTAATAATTATCTATCGTTAATACCTCAACGCCAAGCGTGGACCTTCCAGAGAAATACGCGGCAGTGTAGCGTTACGTAACAATTATCTATCGTCAATACCTCAACGCACGGCATCCGTCCAGAGAAATGCGCAGCAGTGTAGCCATACGTAACATTAGCGATGAGTTTAAGACCCAACTGACGAGCGTCTAACATGCGATGGACTGACTGAAATATAAGAAAGAACAACAAATAATGTTTTATTCACCTACGCTAGTTTGCGCATTGTTGSTGTTTTTGTTAATGTCTTATAGATGCATACAATCTTGTTGAAATATAATTACGAACGTGGCACAATTTGCCGTAAATGTTATAACTATGTAGGCCCGTATTTGATTGTCGAGGAATACATCATTACCTTTTTATGTTTCCACTTTTTCATTGAGGTCTTGACCATTATACGAGTATTCAAGATATCCTCAAGCATCCTAAGAACAACAACAACAAAAATATGTTTTCAGTTWGAAATTTCAGAAGAGAGAATGTACGGAAGAACTTTTTTATAATATGTTTCCTTTTTTTAATTGAAAAACAAAAACATGTTACATGTTACAAAATAATTTATAGTAATAACGTTAGTCCTCACAAATAATTATTGCAAAAGAGACACGTTTCTTACTTTGGTAGGACACCAAGCCTTACATTGGACTTCACAAAAGCAACACCATTTGGAGATATGTGGATGTCATCTTTGAGTTTCTAAACATTGAAGAATATCGATGAACACAAAGAACATTGTAATCACTCTAATCATGCAAATTGTCCCTTCCTTAGTGTAATAGAGGAGAGACCAAGTCCAAAACGTCAATAACAAAAGACTTTTTCGAATGCAAGTCTATTCCGCAGGGCTCCTGTCCAATTAAAAAAAAAAAAAAAAAAGCTACCGGAGGGATGTAGTTAGGAAAACCAAATTGTTCCTAATCTCTCAGAACAAGCTCTTGTTGGTCAATATTATCAATACAGGAAGATAAAAAAAAGATAAATTGATAAAGTATGTTTTTGTCGAAGAAGCCAGCGATGGAAGGAAGCTAAGACAACGAATCGATATAACATCAMCCTTAACAAATACCTTAATAAGAATGGGAGGTACAGCAAGAGTGGATGCGCCAAACTTGAACTCACCAAGTCTAAGGCAAACAAGCAAACAAAAAGAATAAGCTATCAATATTTTTGCTTCTCAAGGCTCCAGTGATTTTAAAATACGTAAAATATGTAGAGAAACACCTACTCTTCAAGGCAAGAAATCCTTCCAAGACAAGTGGAATAACAATAGTTGTAAGCGATGATCATCGATGGATACAAAGACTGGAAGTCAAGTACAAGAACGGGATTGGTGTAGAAACGGGACTCAGGCTCCAAAACAAGTGGTATGACCTCGGGTGCATTCATACTACAAAAAAAAAAAGAAACGGAAACGACCTCAATTGCAGGTTGTCGAACATGGCGGCCAATTTGGAGTTATGAAAAACAGCCTTTTTTGCAACCATATGTGAGTTTGAGTTTGTTTTATGTGTTATTCTCTACCTTCCCATGAGGGTTTTTCTCCGGGTCCTCCGGTTTTCCTCCCTCAGTAAAAATCAACATGTGAGGAGTGTTGTGTGCTAAAATACTTAATGTAGAGGTTGTGAGTGTGAGAGCATAGGGNAATAATTATCTATCGTTAATACCTCAACGCCAAGCGTGGACCTTCCAGAGAAATACGCGGCAGTGTAGCGTTACGTAACAATTATCTATCGTCAATACCTCAACGCACGGCATCCGTCCAGAGAAATGCGCAGCAGTGTAGCCATACGTAACATTAGCGATGAGTTTAAGACCCAACTGACGAGCGTCTAACATGCGATGGACTGACTGAAATATAAGAAAGAACAACAAATAATGTTTTATTCACCTACGCTAGTTTGCGCATTGTTGSTGTTTTTGTTAATGTCTTATAGATGCATACAATCTTGTTGAAATATAATTACGAACGTGGCACAATTTGCCGTAAATGTTATAACTATGTAGGCCCGTATTTGATTGTCGAGGAATACATCATTACCTTTTTATGTTTCCACTTTTTCATTGAGGTCTTGACCATTATACGAGTATTCAAGATATCCTCAAGCATCCTAAGAACAACAACAACAAAAATATGTTTTCAGTTWGAAATTTCAGAAGAGAGAATGTACGGAAGAACTTTTTTATAATATGTTTCCTTTTTTTAATTGAAAAACAAAAACATGTTACATGTTACAAAATAATTTATAGTAATAACGTTAGTCCTCACAAATAATTATTGCAAAAGAGACACGTTTCTTACTTTGGTAGGACACCAAGCCTTACATTGGACTTCACAAAAGCAACACCATTTGGAGATATGTGGATGTCATCTTTGAGTTTCTAAACATTGAAGAATATCGATGAACACAAAGAACATTGTAATCACTCTAATCATGCAAATTGTCCCTTCCTTAGTGTAATAGAGGAGAGACCAAGTCCAAAACGTCAATAACAAAAGACTTTTTCGAATGCAAGTCTATTCCGCAGGGCTCCTGTCCAATTAAAAAAAAAAAAAAAAAAGCTACCGGAGGGATGTAGTTAGGAAAACCAAATTGTTCCTAATCTCTCAGAACAAGCTCTTGTTGGTCAATATTATCAATACAGGAAGATAAAAAAAAGATAAATTGATAAAGTATGTTTTTGTCGAAGAAGCCAGCGATGGAAGGAAGCTAAGACAACGAATCGATATAACATCAMCCTTAACAAATACCTTAATAAGAATGGGAGGTACAGCAAGAGTGGATGCGCCAAACTTGAACTCACCAAGTCTAAGGCAAACAAGCAAACAAAAAGAATAAGCTATCAATATTTTTGCTTCTCAAGGCTCCAGTGATTTTAAAATACGTAAAATATGTAGAGAAACACCTACTCTTCAAGGCAAGAAATCCTTCCAAGACAAGTGGAATAACAATAGTTGTAAGCGATGATCATCGATGGATACAAAGACTGGAAGTCAAGTACAAGAACGGGATTGGTGTAGAAACGGGACTCAGGCTCCAAAACAAGTGGTATGACCTCGGGTGCATTCATACTACAAAAAAAAAAAAGAAACGGAAACGACCTCAATTGCAGGTTGTCGAACATGGCGGCCAATTTGGAGTTATGAAAAACAGCCTTTTTTGCAACCATATGTGAGTTTGAGTTTGTTTTATGTGTTATTCTCTACCTTCCCATGAGGGTTTTTCTCCGGGTCCTCCGGTTTTCCTCCCTCAGTAAAAATCAACATGTGAGGAGTGTTGTGTGCTARAATACTTAATGTAGAGGTTGTGAGTGTRAGAGCAYAGGGTCCGCAGTTACGGTGTCCCTGCCCATACTAGGGGCAAAGCTAGTAAACCTTCGGAATTTTCCTTCTCCAATTATTTCTTAATTGGACTGTGTGGAGTTCTATTACGTATAAAACATTAATTGAAATGTTTTCATCCGTCGAATGCGGTAACTGGATCAAACCTGTTTCTTTGTTGTACACTTGGCGATATTGCTAAATACTTCAACGGCTTTGAAATACGTAACATCATCGACTCCACACGAAACTGCAAGGAAATTAAAAAAAAAAAACTTTAAAAAAAGCAAGTAAACATACTAAGCATCAGGACTCGCCGAATTGGACTGSCTGTACTTTCAACAAATAAACAAACACTTATAATCAAAATGGTCACTACACGGTAGGGACGACAATGATTCTTTCTTTTATCACTGCTTTTTGCTTTTCTTCGAACAAAACTTTGGAAGAGTTTTAAATATAAAAAACGTACATCAGTAAAAGTGTTGCTGTTCAGCGACATATCGTGTTTAGTGAGTGTYCAGTAAACTACCTGAAGATCTTGGAGGGGATGAGTACAATGAGGTTTGTATGATATGATTTATGGTTTTGAACTGCTATTTGCATTGATGGGGTCAAAATTATCAAAGTAACAAATGAAGTCCAATTACCTGAGAACCACGGGATATAACAGAGTAAAAGAGTATCCCAAATAACCTTGCAAGCTCACTAGTTCGACCAATAAAATCAACTTGTTCTAGCAAGCGGATATTTCCATGACAACGGTTGACGTAATGCTCCACAGTACGCCAACGATGTAAWTCAGTCTTGTGATCCCACCAATCAGAAAGCGACCGAAAAGTGAACAAAGGAATTCGTTCATGAAGAACGTGAAACGCAACGTTTTCGAAAGAGTAAATATTCAAAGCCACCTGTCGAAGATAAATAAAAAAAAATAACTACACGAGCAGAAAAAAATTGAAAAATTGTCTTATAGGCACGAAGAGCANGACAATAGCTTCCCAAGGTCAAGATCAAATATCAGAGCACGCTGAATGAGATAGCCCCATGATAACATTTGAAGTTCGTAGCCAATTAAAATATCGGGGTCACATTTGCGAACAAGTACCAAAAACGCATGGAAGATATCTTTTTCTTCTTCAACGTATTGGACTTTGTATTGAGCCACACCTGCGAAACATTTAAAAGTTTAAAATATTTTAATACGAATTAAAATCCGACTTAGGATACTTAACTTGGACAAGAGGATTCGGTAGTTCAAAGCCCGATGATTAGCGTTGATTCACGGTCAACACCAGATATTTTTGAAAGTTAACCTAGTATCATCGCTAATCAAGGTTTAGTTTCATTGCGCTCTGTATTACACGGGTCTTTTACTCTCTTAGTATGTGTGTGTTTGGATATCTTTTTCTTTCTCACTTTCCCCATCGATGTAATACCCCTCCATATGAACTGGGTGATTGATTTGCGACCAGGCCTGCATATGAATTCGCCAAGGTTGTAAGCCAGTGAGCCCGTGCATTTTTGTTAAGCGGTCATATTTGAAAATCTAAATAAAGGAAAGGGAAAACCCGCAGCTCTCCTTTCACTCAGATAAACAGTACAAGTCGTGTTAAATTTATTTACATAACTAAACAAAATGATTATAGAATTAAACCTTTAAGAATTGAATGCTCATATGAAACATTTCCCACCTTAAATACACACGTGTTTTTCAGATGGGAATTTAGTCGAACCTTTTCCATGATGGAATTCTGTTTTGAGTCGTTTCGACATAAACAGTCGCTATCAAGACATTACACGAAAAACCGCAGTCACCGTTCTAGCTCTCTTTGCAAGGTCAAAGCTAGTAAATGTGTAACCGACCTGTTATATAACGTCAACTCGTTGTGTCGTCGAGCACGCTTGCGGATTATTGCCAAAAATGCGACAAAGAATGAACTACGACAGTTGCTCCGTGTATGAAACATAACAAACGCTTTAACTCTATTGGAATACGTGGASCTAAGCTGCTCTAGCTCTTTCAGTGATGTTGTAGATACCTCAAAGCTTTGAGGAAACAAGAGCTAAGAAAAAGGATTTGCAATGGTTCCTCCATACGATACTTTGGACTTGAACGTCGCTTCAACGACCTTCTGAAGTCTTCGTGAAGTCGGCCATTGCTTCGCATGCAATGGAGAACCCGCGTAGAACACAGACTAATTATTTTTAGCAGGGAGGGGAGTCCCTTGGTATTAAAGAAAAAATTCTTTGCTATTTCATCTTTAAGATAAAATTCTATTTCTATAACGATAAATATTTGATTGACATTTAATAAAAGCTATTTTATAAAGATTTTCAATTTGTCTTTGCGTTTTAGCTTTGATTTTTCGGATAGAATAAAATGGCAGGCAGCCTACTCCACTGGGTCGAGTTTTGCTGTGCAAATTCCTCCCGTCGGGGGGTTATGTTTACAACATAAGCTTGTCAGCTTTGCGCTGATTGGCTAGTCGCATTTTCTCAAATCACCCAGAATGCATTTTGATCGATGCCGACGGCACAGTTTTGAGTAATTTTACTTAAATAATGTAGGTAACACGCTGCGCTCTCCGAGAATAATAACTTTTGCAACTTTTGATATAAACGAATGAAGTTATCCTTCAGCAGCATGTTTGAGAAGATGAAAAGGGTTCGATTGAGGCCTTGTTGCTGTAAAATAGTGAAAAAAAGGTCTGAGCTTTCGCCGTCTACGGCTTCATCAGAGACTGACTAAAGAAATGTTATTTAAGTGATTAAAAGAACGTTTAGAACAAAAGGTTGTCCATTTCACTGGACTCCTCACGGGAATTGAGAGATGGTCTTTTGTTATAACTTTTGTTACAGCCTTTTGCAAAAATTATGAGAATTGTTGAAATATCTAAATATCATAATATCGAGTGCATGATGGGTAATCCCGCGTGATGCCCTTAGTCCCTTGTCTTTGTAGTTTAGTTTTTTTTTTTTGGAGACAGACTTATCCGTAGTTCTAAACATTTTCTCGATGTCAACAATGAATTATTCTAGCAAACCCTCGTGTTCTGGACAATATATGGATATGGATATTATGATATTTAGATATTTAGAAAATTCTCATAATTTTTGCAAAAGGCTGTATATAGGAATAAATAAAATAAAATGATGTGTTGGCTTCAGTGGTCATCTTTTGTAATGTATTCCTATGTTCTTCAATCCTTAATTATCAGGATAACGTTTTTGTAAATTGTAACGTTTTTTCATCAGTCATAATGACTCGGTGAGCCGAAAGCCCGACTAAGTAAATACAATTTTAGATTGAAGTAACGTTTTAAATTATTATGAATAGACCAACGTGCAACCATCTATTTGGTCTAAACGTTTTTGTTATTAGGTGCTTAGAAATAAATAAAAGTCGCACTTTTTCTCTTTATTTTTTTTTTAAATCTGTAATAAGCCATTTTTTAGCTCAAAGCGAGCGACCGCTGTTTCAGTAGACAATAGACTCACTTGCGTAGAGGACAAAAGAATCTTCTCCGATTTGAAGCTTAGCCTGAGCAATACGCTGCCATCTGGGAATACAGGCTTAGCGCTATTGTAATGACAACATTTTTTCGTGCTTTCTTTTGTTTTTGGTCAGGTCTTTGCGCATGACAGACTGTTGTCAACTAAATCAGAGATTGTTTGCGTTGAACGGGAAGATTGCGTATTTACAAGAGGAAATACTGTCAGCGGATCAGATTTCATACTTTAATACAAACCTGAACGTTCAAGAATAGGTCTCTTTGCAGCTGGGGTGACATTGTGAATGGAGGTGCCAGAAGTCCCCAATATCGTACTTCCCTTASTCATTTCTTTACCATTCATAAGTTTTGCAGAATCCTTATCAACGCATATAATTCCTGTGACTTTGTTTGTGGGACAAGGGGAGTCTGTTTGGATGTGATAGAATACAGCACATATCGGATCAAACTCAGGATCAGGTTTTTTGTCTTTACGGGTGCGAACATGAAGCTCRATACTCAGCAAAGTAAGATGTTGAACCTACGAAAAATAAAAGCGCGAAAAAATTTTCTTTATCCAAAGACAATCAACAACTCTACAATCGTTGTTTTAAAGTAACTTTGAATCTTGTTATGTGTATTGTCTTTGACTTTTTCCTGTAATAAAAATTGTTTTACTTTTAAAGGGATACATACTGGAAACTAGCCTGATTTTTCAGAGGGGTTTGGGTCTGACGCTAATGCTAATAGGTTTCTTAATCTTAAGGTTTTCTTAGGCTTACCCGTGTTATTTTCATTACACTGCGTGATCAGTTTCTGGAGAAAGCACAAGAAACACTCCATGTTCCGTCGAAAACATATAACGCATTGCGTACGTAAATGCTCTAGAAGTCTATTGGAAACTTCACAGAGAAAGGTTTTGCATAGCGTCATCTACAGCCGGATAAATTTTGGATCGAATATTAAGTCAATGACACAAAAAAATCTGTTCTAGAATATATGAAAACATTTTTCAAAATTTAAGAAACTAAAAAACGTGTTGTTCAAAGATTAATAGTGCAACAAAGATTGCTCTACTCAAAGTTGAACAATTCGTCAATTTTCATTAGGAATGGCCTTTGAAATCCTTAAATATTGACCAATTAATGAAAAAACATGAGTCTATTTTTGGAGACTACACAATAGATGGAATATCACCTGTCTTCTTCCCAACAATAGTATGATCGGAAGACTAAAACCTGTAACTGAGCTACACATGCTTGGATKTATTAGTACTCAGTA